AAGTGTTTTGATAATCTGTTTTTATTAATTAGTACTATTGTTTGTCCTGTACAGCACTTTGGTGCAGTTTTATACCTGTTTTTAAAGTGCTATATAAATAAATTTGACATTGACATTTGACAAACATTTCTTTTAAAGTCCAGCTGAGTCTATTTGGATTGTGATCCATAAGGAAATATTATTTTATTCTTTAGCCTTTTTTAAAATAAAGACGAACAACCTTCTATGAGAAACTTTGTGCAAATGTGCAAAACAACATATTTCAACATATATATACGGTATATATATTGAAACCCAAGTATATTTACATCGCAATTAAAGCAATTAAGTCAACATTACAGGAACTTTTCCTCAGTTCATTTCTGTTTCTCTCACAACATTCATATAACAATTATGTTGAGGCCATAAAAAAGAGAAAAAGTTTGTCTTCTAGAAAGCCAAGTTTTTATTCTTTGTTCATAGAGTTTTTAGCTATGGTACACTCAACAAATAAATACAGACCTTGGCCTTTTATTGTGGGCAGTCCAAGGCACAATGGTGCACTAATCATGGTGTCTAATCAGCATCCTGATATGGCACACCGGTGAGGTGGGATGGCATTATCTCAGCAAAGGAGAAGTGCTCATTTTCACATAATTAGACTGGTTTCTGAACACTATTTGAGGGAAATGGTAATACTATGTATGTGGAAAAAGTTTTAGATCTTTTTGTTCATCTCATAAAAAATGGGAGCAAAACCAAAAGTTTTGCGTTTATATTTTTGTTAAGTGTAAATGTGTATAAAAAAATTCAAACACAATATTGATACATAAGCAGATACTTGCAATATTCATTTAAATAAAAGCAACATTTGTTCAAATATAAATTGCTGGTATGTATAAAAGAGAACTGTTTAATCTCAGTTGAATATAAAATCAGAACACAGAACATTACACATGAAATGTTTTTTTCTTTTTTTAAGATATTTGCACACAATTACAGAAAAAAACACACAGAACTTGGTTTTAGCTGTTTACAGCTTAATGCTAAATGTTTACATTGTTTGAAAACAGTGCTGTAGGAACAGATATGAAGCATCTGTATTTTTTAAACAGGCGTTGAAGTATTTTTTCCGTTTACAGGGTTTTCATCTGGCTGGCTGTTGACCTTCTACTAGAACTTCCTTGATTTTTTTTAACAAAAGATAATAACTTAAAAAAAAAACATTGATTTAAAAAAATGCTAACTGTCTCTATGACAGTCTTTTCTCCATCGTCTCCAAACTGTTTACAAAATAGCAGGAAATGTTTAAGGTGCTGATAAACTTCCTTCAGTCCTCTGTAGAGCTCTCCTTCCTCGGTGTGTCATCAAACAATGGTGACATGTCTGTGTTTCACAAATCCTGGCTCAGCACCAACGTGGATGTTAATATCCTGATTGTCCGGCTCATAGGTTTCATTCACCTGACCTGATGTCTGTTCATCTGCACTGATAACACTTAACTGGCTCTGTGTTTTTACTCTCCTGTTACACAAGAAAACAAACAATAAATCCTTTTAATCATGAGTACTTTAACTACCTGTAAAATAAAAGAAGCATTTTCTTACCTCATCTCATCTTGGTAATTTGATTCTAGAATGGAGCATAAATAACATATTATTTAGAGCAAAGATGTAAAAAGTGCATTATTTCTTTTACGTTTATTTCTTACCTTTTTCTTTCCTTTGTTTGTAGCAGTGGTAGATTCCCAGTATGAGTAAAACCAACAAAGCACAACTTCCAAATGACACAACTACAGCTATCAGCACTGTCCAGTCTGCAGGTTTGGGAACTGTAGAGGAGGGAAGAAATTCAATTATATATACAGCACCAATTCACAACACATGTCACAACACATTGACAACACGGGGTGAGTGGTGGCCTGTTGGGGTGAGTGGTGGCCTAGTGGTTAGGGCATAGGGCTTTGAATCCTGAGGTTGTGAGTTTGATCCACTCCCACAGACTGCCACTCTGGGTCCCTGAACAAGACCCTTAACCACACACTACTCCCCTAGGATGGCAGCCCACTGCTCCCCAAGGGGATGGGTTAAATACAGAGAATTCATCAGAGAATTCATTTTGTTGCCCTGTACTTCTTACAGTGTAATGACAATAAATTGAATTATTATTATGTCATCTCAAGGCACTTTACAGTTCACCAGATCATCCAGCCAAATTGATTTAACGTTTTCTATCTAAGGAAAACCAGTTGATTGCATCGATTCATTGACTCAAATGCAATCCCTCACACTAAGCATGCTTGTAGTGACAGTGGAGAGGAAAAACTCCCTTTTAACAGGAAGAAACCTCCAGCAGAACCAGGCTCAGTGTGAGTGGCCATCTCCTAAGGCCGACTGGGGTTCAAGGAGACAGAAGAAACAGAAAAAGCAGCTGTAAAAGGCGGCCCCATCCAGGAAACACACAGCCAGGCAGACCAGTCTACGTCTATAGCAGCATAACTATAGAGATAGCTCAGGATAACCTGAGCCACTCTAACTATAAGCTTTATCAAAAAGGAAATTTTTAAGCCTAGCCTAAGCTTAAGCCTCACAGACTAAAACTGGTAGTTGGAGCCACAAGAGAGGAGCCTGATAACAAAAAGATCTGCCTCCCATTCTACCTTTAGAACTTCAAAGCATTGTCAATCAAAGCATTTTCAGATTTAATGGTTATGTTAACCACCACAAAAGATGGAACTCCTCCAGTAATAAAAGCAATAAACGCTTACATTTCAGTAAATTTTCAACTGTAAACATCTGTTAAAAGAGAAAAATGAAAATTCTGCATAAGTTTATTCCATCTTTTATTCAGTTTTTTCATTGTTTTTGGAGAATAAGACAAACTTTATTTCATTGTAATTTAATGAAATTTTATTGTATACAGCTTACAACAATTTAATAGGAATGCAATTGAATGTAACGGTGCGAGGAGAAAAATATATCATTTTTTTTAATGTGCAAAAGAATGTTCAACCATGTTTATAGTGCAAAAATAATGGTGCAAAAAAGACATTCATTTGAAAAGTTCAGTTTTAGCATTGCAAAATAGTAATGGTGCAAAACGCAGTAAATGTTTTTCAATTTAGGTAAAACAGGTTTAACAGAACCTAGGTCTCCAATATGCGCTGCAGAGTCGCTCTGCTCTACACACGCTGCAGGTGTAACAGGATGGTTGGCAGAAGCTGTGGCACAGCTCCACCACAGTGCATATACACCATTTCCACATCTGGGGGAACCGAGAGGCAAAGAGGAAACGCTGCTGTTTGCATAAAACAGCAGCAGGAAGTGCTGCAGAAGAGACGACCATCGACATATACAGGAACAGACCATAGACATTAAAACAAATGATGTGTATGAACTGTTGCAAACAGATGCCCACTCAGAGAACAGTCAGAGAAATTAAAGAAAAGGTTTGTTTTCATTTGAATCTTCTTTCTCTCCAAGCATCCCGTTCATGTCTTTACCAATGTCTCCTTTCCATTGGATCTACTTCGCCCAGCTTTAATCCATCTAACAAATTTTTTGCCATACTCATCTCTGAAAAAGCAACGATTGAAATGGTTGCAAATTGCTGAGGAAAGTAGAGCCAGCGGAAAAGGGGCTCAATGTTCTTGTTCCCAACAAAGTTGGTAATTGTCTCCCCCTAGTGCTCTCCAAGCTGATTTATAAGTTGTCGGTGCCTCATCACTCCTCACCAGCGTAGGAGAAAACCCAATCAGCACTTTTAGCAACACATCAGCAACCTCATAGGATGCCAGTAAGGGGCCATGTTGGCAGATGCAGTCCAAATCCATCCATCTTCTGTCACACTTATACCAAGGGGTGCCAGTTTCCTAACTGCAGCTGTCTATGGGCAAGAGGCAGGGTACACCCTGGACAGGTCGCCAGTCCATCACAGGGCAGGGCAACACATAGACATTCACACAGTTAGAATTCACAATTTAAAGAAACCAATTAACCACTGAGCACCCAGAGAGAACCCACACATGCTTAGGGAGAACATGCAAAATCCATGCAGAAAGACTCTAGGCCGGGAATTGAACCAAGAACCTTCTTACTCGCCACTATTTTGCTAAAAAAAAGTCAGCATGATGCACTTTTTAATCCCCCTTTGAAAACATGACCTTTTCAAAAAATAAAGAATCGACCATATAAAGACACAGATGTCTCCTTTTTATGATAAATTCTCTTATGTTTAAATAGTAAAATTGATTTCAATAGAAATCTGTGACACCATTTCGTTTTCCTCCAGCTTTCTGTCACCCTTTAATAAAAACTGTAAGCAGCCTTGAAATAGAATTATTGCAGTACACTAATAAGATATATTGTGTCCAAAAAAAGCAAACCAAAACTAACAGTTATTTAAAGGAAAAGTCTGGTCACATTCACAATTCAAACTTCTGAAACTACTTTAAATTTGAAATTATTACATACTGTTTAATAAATGTTAATTTTTTAAATAAAGAGTAATTTTCATTTGAATGTGCTTTACTGTAGGCATCCATGTTTGTCAAAGAACACTACTGCCACCTACTGGTTTGTGACGTCACGGTGCGGTATCGGCTGTTGATCAAGTCCCACTGCTGTATCTGGTGTTTGTCACAACTCAAGTCATCTTGAGAACATTCTTCTTCCAAATGTTGGCTACATATTATGTGTTTTTTCTCTGGCCAGAAGTTCGATGGCAAATCCTCCCTCTTCAAGTTGGCGATCCCTTAGAGTTCACAAAGTAGTTGTTCTCTGCAGATCCCATAGTGCTGAGTTCTTTCTATATTGTGGCATTTTGAAACAACTTTGTCAAGAAGAGGCAGCACCATTGCAGCCATGCAAAATTCAGCAGGCAAATGTTAGGACAGCTCAGTGGCACATTAGGGGGATATTTCATAATTCAGATATTAAAAATATATAGTTTTGACTATTTCAAATTAACTGAAATGTCTTGATTATAAATCCAGATGTGTGACACTTTAAATGAAAAATATTTCAAAATGCATTTTGACTCTCCAACATGTGCTTAAAGATATCTTGAATTGTTATTTTTCCATAGACATAATATAAAATTATGAAACATAATGAAGGGAAGTCAAAATTTAGTAAATAATGTTTGTCCATTCTATTAACATTTCTGTATCTCTATAATGGGTCTGTATTATGAGTTGTCTTCTCAATTCATAGGGCCTGTATTTGTCTAGGGCCCCAAATTTCCTAAATCCGCCCCTGCTCCATTGACGAACCCGTCCATGGTGGATCATGAGTCAGAAAGGTGAAATAACTTATTCTTTTTCACTTTTATTCGATGTATTCCAACATCCAGCTGCCGTGCACGTGGGCATTGTCAGTTTCACTATAGCTCTGGTGAATTTCAATGGTGAAGTCCTCTGGAAATCTTCAATAATTGTTGTTGATTGCAGATGTGTCTAGTAGTTGCCATTGATTCTGCTTGTAAAGCGGCGAGAATACCGCACCGTGACGTCACTGCCGGAAGATTTCAGGAGTGAGGTGTTATTTTGTCAGGAGGGCAAATATGGCCGCTCCCAGACTCAGTGATTGGGACGAAAATTATTATTTTTATCTTTTTACTGATTACTGCTAAATTGATTAAATCACCTCTCACATTAGCCTGATAAGCCAGACTAAATGTGAGATTAAAAGTGTAATTTAGTCTGAGACATTGGAAGATTGTTGATGAGAACAACCAGTTGTTTTTTAAACCATGTCTGTGCCTATTGGCCAATGCTCTGACCAATCAGAGCAACTGACTGTGACGTAGGAAGCGCGACTAAAAGCTGGTGGGAGAGTTTAGACATATAGCAAGTCGGTAATACGGAAAATACGTCCTCCTGAATAATGAATGAGCGTAGAGCCTCTTCCTGCTCACGTTTCAATGAAAACTCCAAGTCTAATCCTTCCAAAACTGGTTCCAAAGCTGAGTCAAATGAGAACTGTTCAATAGTTGTTGCCATCTTCCTTGTTGTGCTTTTTCCAGCGTCGCACAGCTTTGTCATCACGCCCTCAAAACCCCGCCCGCTTTGCATCCAGAAATTCAAACACATCGTTGAGTTGTGATTGGCCCGCCAGTATAGGGCCTGGGGCATTGATCGAGGCTAGACCACTCGCAGGGATAAATGATTTTGGCCGCTGGCAGGTGGGGCTAGTTTATTAGGCTAATCGAACATACTAATTTTAGGTATAAATAATGATCCATTGATTATTCCTTGCTGACTGGACTTCTCCTTTAAAGGATAAAATAATGTTACAATGTTACGGAATTAAATAATTTCAAAAAAAGTCTTTAAACTACTCTAAATCTCTGGTTACACAATTATTGAGATCTATACTGTAAATAATTGTTCTGGGTTCTTCTTTGTGATATTTTTTCTCCAGCAGAGAAAACAGATCTGAAGTAGTATTTAGGACTGAGGATGATCTTCCATAATGGAAGCTCAGTTTTAACTGCTTAAATGACGTCTATGTTGATTTGGATGAGAACATATATCATCCAGAAAAGCCTAAAACGCAGGACTGGGACGGTTTTAGAAATATCAAAGCCCAAATTATCACATCTCCTGTAACCTGTGAAGTGGTAACAATGTAACAAGTGCAGGAAATTATCTCAATGATTCCAACAAAAGTGTTTTTTCTGGAGAAGCTTCCAAAAAACATGACTTTTGTTTTACGAGATGTGACCAATTGAAGTTATTTTTTTACATTGCAGCAGTTATTTTGGATGAAGATCTAACAAGCTGACATCTTGTGGTGCAAAGTTAAAGAGTTTCTAATTCCTTTGTCTGTACAAGAACCAAGACAGATGATGTTCTTCCAATCATAACTGCAGTTATCTTTGAAATAATCAGTGCTTTCTTTGTCCTAATAGGATAAAAGTTACTCCAAAATCAGTGCTCAGAACTTTCCTCTTTATTTTTCTTATAGTCA